AGCCAATTACCTCGTATCTCCTGGTATCGAGGGCCAGAAGACTAACGAATCCAGAAATTTGCAGGAAAAAATTGAATGCAATGGCAACTGACGCAAATAGTGCAAACGTTTTGACAGCAGGCATCGATGAAATTGTTCCAATAGAAAAACAGAGTGATTCCGAGACACTAGTAAGAAACATGGATGGCCCAACTGATCCCAAAATCCTCCCCATGTGCTGTGGAATACTCTCCCCAGGTCGTGGGGGATTCCTCTGATGGGTTTGCACAAGAATAAAAATATTGTCAACACCTACAGCCAGAACGAGGAAGGGAATGACCTGAAAGGAGTGAAAAATGTCAATATTATCGAACTTCAATGAAAGAATTAATTAATTTAGTACTTCAATAGTTAATAGCGTCGTAGCCGTCTTAGTGTATCCAAAAATTCCAAATGTACATCCCACCGAAGCCAAAACGGTGATTATTCCACTGATGCTCAACATCGCTTTGCTGATAATCTATTAAAAAAATAATCCATCAAAAATCCAACTGATATCTAAGAATAGGAGGTATTGAAGAATCAATGAAAAATAAAATTCATACAAATGTCTCTGCAGATGCTTTGAATGTCCCTAGAGAGAAGAGAATGTAGATAAACATTACGATGTAACTGATAACAATAGTTTTGGATTCAGCAATCGATGTGCGTTCCAACTCGTCCTCGATGGATCTCTCGGATGAATACGCGATATCCATGAAGTCTGGCTTTTCGTGCTTCACCCAATGCCCCATGAACTCGAGAAATCGACTCTCCCATTTTCGCATCGGTGCCAAATTATCTTTATCCACTTCATTCCTCACCATAAATGATAAGACAAGGGCTGATGCTTTTATGTAGTCCACAGCCTCGTAGGTTGTTTTTCCTGGGATCAGGTGACCACCTAGTGCTATGTCAGGGAGAATTGGTCCTCTGTAAGTACCTAGACACTCCGGAAGGAATGCATTTCTATAAAAAAAAATTCACTGAATTAATCTCTCATCATATCGTTGAATAGTAATTAAAGTCTACTGCTGGTGTGTACGCACTGCAAACACGTGTATAAATGATTCAGGTAATGACTATCATTGAATTTCTTCAAGTCATTTTGGAAATACCCCCAGATACTCTGTACTGTACAAAGATCTACTGTCATCGGTCCTGTGAACTCATTTTTTACCGGAGCATAACAAATCCTTTCGAGGCCTTCATCCGTATCTTTACCGATCTAAATAACAAAACTCATTAAATTGATTGAATTTACTGAATCATAAATTATCAGAAAATCTGTGAGGAAGTGGTAATTCAAGTAATTTATTATTTACAACCACTTGTGAGTAATTATCCAATATTATATTACCTGTTGAATTTTTTGTTGTAAATCGTATACAGCCATTAAGAATTTCCTTTGAAAAATCGGGCCAAACTCGTGAACCCCATCCGAAGTTTCATTTCTCATCTAGATCAATATTCAATCAATACAATCGAACTGTCGATATCGATTATTTACTTGAGACATTAAATGTCATTACCGTCTCGAGATTGACTGCTTTAATGTAAATCTGCTCAATCCTGTAAAAAGGGGTGAAGTGACTGTCAAAGTAGTCTTTTTCGATTCTAGATCGGCTGTCCGGTGAAGCCCATATCTCGATAGGATCTACCGTTATCGTCAAGTTCATTCCTCCCCAGGCTGTTCCAATAATTACGTAAGAGAGGAGAGATAGAGTTAAAACAGGATGTCTTGCGAATGCTGTAAAAGAAAATATCGTCACATCCGTCAAAAATCCCCAGCGCAATAAGCAGTAAATTTTACCATATCCCAATCGATAGAATATTCTCTCAAATACATCATGATAGCGCATGCTCAAACGATCGCAGGAATTTATAACACCCCGTGAATTTCCTAAAAAACATTTATTATAATTTCATCTAATGAGAGGTAATGCAAAAAAATACTTCGAAATGTTTACTCGAGCCGGCATGTCTCTTCATCCAGATCCAACCAATAGAGAAACCAGTGCTCATGCCCAGAATGATAATACCCAATAGTACACCAGCTCCGTTAATACCGAGGAGTGTGAAAAATCTGTGATTTATTGTCCATTCAGTTAGAGGACAAGCTGATGGACAATCCACGCAGCTACATGCCGATGCATTCTGAAATAAAATACAATTTAACTCAAGGTTTTGGGAAAGTTTATTTTAGAATAGTACAAACAGCAACTGAGGAATATTTACAGCGAATGATTCATTGCAGGGTTTGGCAGGTGGATTCATCGGGTCCACCAGTCCAAGAGATTCGTTTGGCTTCCAAATATAATTTATCTGAAATGGTACTAAATTATTCTGGTTTGGGTCCCCCATGTACTCGTACCACCTAGCATCGAATGAGAAATTAAATTCACTTGTTACTCTACTTTTAGTCTATTTTAAAAAATCTCACAGTTTCGGGGTACATCTACTGGCTCCATGCAGTCCACAACCAAGATCCAGTGCTAATTTACCGCTGGCTGGGTGAACGATTCTGCTGCAAGACTCGAATGTACTATTCCCAAATTCCTCACCGATGAATATCTATAAAAATTAATAACTCCACGCGTTAGGGATTTTCGGTGTGAATTTTTCGATGGAGATCAGTATTACCTCAACTTTATTTATGTATTCACCGCCATTGATTTCCCATTTGAGGATCTCGGTGGCAGCCATGAATCGTTTTTGATCGGGAGCACAAGTGAAATCGCAAATCGATCGGAAAAAATTTCTCAAACAAGTTGTGCAACGACCATAAATCCCTTCGGCCTGTTGCATACGTGAATCCATTGTTTGGATTATTGCACTGTCACAACAGGTTCGGGGATGATCTAAACAAGATAATAAACAACTGGGAAATTCCTCTAATATCGCACTCCTTGTTTTATCCTGAGTTGATATTCGAATAATTAATTATTCGAATGCGAATGATAGAATCAAATAATTAAAAAAGCATCTGCAACTCCTAATTGCAAAAAGGTACGAGAGGGATTACCAGTTTCCTCGAAGAAATGTGGACACCTTTTCTGTAATCTTGCTTCAGCCAGGGCGTCATTGATTAATCGGGCTGAATGATTCGATGGACAATTATGTTTATTGGGCACTGTTGGTCCACATTCGCCATACCAGACACAAGTATATTCTTCTGTTAAGTTCTGAGAAGAAATCGTCACAGGAATTCCTGT